CCGTGGACTGTCTTTGGACCTGCATCATACCCGGAATTTAGGAAAAGAGTTGTTAATCTTACTAGTAAAGTACAGACATTGGAAAACCAAATACGTAAGCTTTGTGATGTGGAATTTGCAGATGTCTATTCAGGTGATAAATCAGTATCGGTAGAAGACAAGGCGGCCATAGAGATTGTGGAAAGAAGCACGCGCTTCGACAATGGGCATTTTGTAGTTCCTATACCATGGAAAAAGAATCCAAACATGAAAGTGGGGAATTATGAAGTAGCAAACAGTAGATTACAGAGTTTGAAGCGAAGATTGTTGAGGGATGACAGTCTGCACATCAAGTATACGAAAAGTATTGAAAGTAATTCTGTTAAGGGCTATGCGGAGAAGGTCCCTGAAATACACTTGCAGCCTAATTACCACCCCCGATGGTATTTGCCTCATCATGCCGTGTTAAATCCGAAAAAGCCAGAAAAACTTAGAATGGTCCTCGATTGTGCCGCCAAGTTTTCAGGCGTTTCCCTAAATGATATGATTTGTCAAGGACCCGACACCACCGCTGAGCTAGTGTGTATATTATTGAGTTTTCGCAAAGAGGCAGTTACAATCTCTGCAGATGTTGAGGAAATGTTCATGCAGGTGAAGGTCCCTGAGTCTGATCGAGGAGCTTTAAGATTTCTGTGGTGGCAGAAGGGAGACATGTCGAGGGAGCCATCTGAATTTCAAATGACCTCTCATCCATTTGGTGCCACGTCATCTTCGATTTGTGCGAACTTTGCCATGATTAAGACAGCTCAAACATTCTCTGATAGTTATGATCGGTATGTCGTAGATGCTGTCAAGAACAATTTCTATGTTGATTGCTTGATATCATTTTCTACTTGCGATCAGGCGAAGGAGTTTGTTAAGCAGATAACTGAATTATTACGTAAAGGAGGTTTTAAATTAAAGAAATGGGTCACCAACTCGGAAGAAGTGTATGGAGAATTATTTAGTGAATTTAAAACCCACAGTAAAGTAGTTAGTCATAATGATCTGAAAGAATTGTCACCTATAATACTGGACGGGTTAATCTGTGTTGGAGGTCGCTTAAGCTACTCAGATTTCTCCGATGCTTTTAAACATCCAATAATTTTACCCAGTCGACACTTGGTGACGGAAATGATAATTAGACATTATCATAAAGAACAAGGGTACACAGGAACGTCTCAAGTACTGGCCACAATTCGAAAAAGCTATTGGATAGTAAAAGGAACTAGCATAGTTAGAAGAGTGATAGGAAAGTGTATGACATGCCGACGGTTTACGATGAATTTAGGACAACAATTGAGGGCACCGCTTCCAGTTTGCAGAGTGCAGCAAGGCTGGTATAGTTTCTCAAATGTAGGGGTAGACTACTTCGGACCTTTCTTAGTCAAAAGAGGAAGGTCATTAGAAAAAAGATATGGATGTGTATTTACTCGTTTGCAAACCAAAGCAGTACATATTGAAGTGACGTATAGTTTGAATACTGATTCCTTTATAATGGCCTTAGTACGTTTTATTGGAAGAAGAGGGAAACCTGCAGAAATTTACAGTGACAATGGGTCAAATTTCGTGGGTGCAGTCACTGAACTAAGGGAATTTGTGAAACAGTTTAATCAGCAGAAGATAAGTAACGAGCCGTCAGCGAGGCAGATTCAATGGCATTTTAACCCGCCCTCATCCAGCCACAGGGGTGGAGTATGGGAAAGGATGATTAGGTCTATACGCCGACTGTTATTGTTGATCATCAGAGAACAGACTTTAACTGATGAGGCTTTAGGCACTTATTTGGTCGAAGTAGAAAGAATACTGAACGATCGACCCTTAACTCCAGTTATCCAAGATGCTAACGATAAGCTAGCCTTATCGCCAAACACTTTGCTGTTATTGAGAGAATGTGACGGAATAGTAGATGAAGGTAGCGTTCGAGACAAATATGACAAACGTTCGAAACAGGTCAATTATCTAGCTAATGTGTTTTGGAAAAGGTGGTTAAGAGAGTATTTACCGTCCTTACAAAAACGTCAAAAATGGTTTACTGAACATCACAATTTTCAAAAGGGAGATGTAGTAATCGTGACCTCGGATATTTCGACCCGTGGAAATTGGCCCTTGGGAGTAGTTGAAGGTTGTGAAATAGATAACGACGAAAAGGTTAGGACGGTTACTGTTCGTACGAATAATGGATTAGTTAGAAGAGATATACGTAAGGTATGTCTTCTTGAAGGTTCGAATTAGTTCTTTGCTATTATCAAGGTAGGTAGGTCGAGTAGGCGTACTGTTGTAAGTCCTGCTCGTTCCTGTGTAGTAGAATATGTTGTGGTATGAACCATGACCATAGGCATCAAGGTGGCTTGTGTTGTATGGAGGAATTTTGTGGGCCGGTGTAAGATCCATTTTGAATTATTTGTGTGTGAAAATCCCTCCATGTATACACTTGCAGTTTATTCTTATTGATACCTTTGGTTGTACATTTTTATTAGTCTTTTTCATTCCATTTGAGTTAATAGCATTTGTATTTTATTATAGTTTTTATTTTTCTTACGCCTTCACTAAGTTTCCGTTTCTTTCTGAACTGCATTTATGTTGTTTGACTTGATACCTATTCTTGGCGGCAGCTATATTGAGTTGTTCCTCCCTTTGATCGTGTTGCGTGCATTGACTGGAATTGTGCATTTTTGATTGTGAGTTGAAGCACTCTTCCAGAATTGAAAACACTTGGTGTTGTAAAGCAACCAAACATTATCTTTTGAACGAATCTGTGTGTGATCTATCCAGACAGGATAGAATAACATTTAATTGTTGCGATTGGTAATTTTCTAGCATCCTTTTTTAACTTTCTTATTTATTGTAATTTAGATTTGATTAATTGAACTACTGTTGGTTGGATAGCTGGGTGGTTATATTTGTTTAGGTAACGATGTACATTTAAATTTATGATGAATTATAGAACCGTCATTTCACCCGATTACTTTGTTTTGGTTTCAAACGGGCAAGGGCGCGTATCTAACCCACCAAGACAGCTATTCTTCAGTCCAAACCTTAGTTTGGATCTTACATCCAGCATATCCAATTTATTTTCAGGCGGCTGTGGTGTTTGTATGACCTAGTGATTCCTTCAAAATCAATGTTTATGGTATGTAGCAATCAGTTTTCTATTCACCGTCTGTACGTTGAAAACAGGTTTGCGCAGACGGTCCTTAAATCTGGGAAGAGAACGCTAACTATTGAGCCAGTGCCGGTGAGATAACAAACGTTTGTCATCAGATTAGGCAGCTATTTTCGTTGATTGCAGTTGTCGTTAACAGGTGTCAATGAGAAGTTTTACAGAAGGGTTTTCCATTTCAGACTATTTGAAAATTATGAAGCCACAGGGTTCCATACAATTTCTTGAAGACTTACTGTATTTATTGTAGTACCATCAATCAGAATCATTTGTCCTCGTGGTCTAAAAACAGAACTACATCGTGGTGGGCTTCTTCAACGAGTATGAGAGCTTCTACGATTAGGATGAATACTAAGATAACGTATCAGAGTATGATGGAGACCTGTGACGTTATTTTGTGTTGTTTGAGGTCTTTTCTTGACAGAATAAACCTTGGTGTTGGAGGTTATTGTGATCCTTAGAATCTAGTCGACAGTTGGAGCTAGTTCATATACGGCGTTATTTTGGAATGAGACAAGGACTGTCCGAGTCTTTTGGGAAAGCTTAGATAAGAGCTGTTCAAGCAGGCTCTTGTCATAGATCCGTTGAACAATTAAAGTAACCTACTTTATTTTGTCGTGTAATGAAAGGTTACCTCATCTCTACTTTAGGTACCTTGAATAACAAGTTAAGTGACGACATACATCATCTTTCTGCTTCACAGAGAATCGATCCTCTGTGTAAACATATCGATAGGGGCCAGAAACACTGATCGCATAAACTTATGTTGGAGTTCCGCTTTTGCCAACTCACTGTCAACTAACGGAAGGCTCTATGCAAATACGTGGTGCAAGCTTCATACATGAACGCTTTTGAGGACACTTCATAGCCTCTGTATAGGTCAAAAACGCGGTACCTTCATCTCTAACAGCTGATGTTGAGGATCGCGCTTTTCAAACGGGAAGTTTAGTTCTAACGTGGTTTGCACTTCTCGAACATTTTCTGTGATCTTACGCAACAAAAGTACCACTTCTGATCTAAAGAATCTATTCTAAGATATACGTTCGGCAGATTACTTTTTTCCGGGTTTTGCCCAGTTTAATAGTTAACTGTGTTTTTGCCTCAGCTTACTGTTCGGTTTTTTCAGTTTTTCACGTAAAGGCTAGTTCAGTTTATCTCATCCTCTTTTATCAATTTTTCACGTTTTAGTGTGCTTTTTAGTGTATTTTTAACGACCTTAAGCTCTTGCTAGCATCTATAATACGCTTTACGTCAACACGTCATGAAAAATTCATGCAAACGATCTGGATGCCGTTTTACTGTAACATCTGTCATGCAGTGCCACAACTTCAAAGGTTGGTTCCGTGAATCGAGCACAGATATCACAGCAACTGCTTACAACAGACTCAGCAAGTCGGATCATAAGTGGGCATGTGTTACGTGCTGCACGGATGCTGTAGTTTTGCTGAGTAACATCATTGTCCTATTGACAGGTCTGCGGAATAAGTTGTCGGCTAACTTGGAAAAAGACGGTCATAATACAAGTAGGCGAACAAGAACGCGCAACGAAAGTAAGAATAAGGATGCCGAAAGGTCTGTAGTGGCATTGAGCCGTAACACGAGACAAACTGGAAAATGGACATTCAACATTAAACGCTGGGAAATACCGAACAATGAAGAAAGGCGGGAACAGTGAATTGAATTAATACGAGTTAATCTTATGGTATGGCTCGACCATGCAGGCGTTGTCCCTCCTGCTAAATGTTACGTTATGTCTTTTATTCATATTAAATATATTGTTCCATCTCTAGCCTAAGCTTGTTCTCTATCACGTATTGGTAATTGTTACAATGCAATGAATTGGTGTAGACGATGATGTAACTTATAGGCAGTTACATCATAATAAATCTACAATTTTAGGATTAGGTCTATTATTAGAGCAGTGCTAATATCGTAGTAGACCATAATTCTACAGGTCTACCATAGATGGAATACGCATTAGCGTAGAGTGATTGACACGTTTAATTGCCACTACGTTTTAGCAACGAGTCAAAACAGACACATTAGGCACGTATATTGCGTATGGCATTGATCCTATTTATAAGGTTGTTCTAGCTTCTCTTTCATACATGCCAAATATGCAGCGTGGTAAAGCATTCATGTTCCTACTTTGCCGAGAAAATAAAACGTTATTTTAGGTGATTGACTAAGAAATTTGGTAGTGTGGTCGCGAGACAGGATTTCTAGAACCAGTTCCAGGAAATGCCAGCAGTCAGCAACACAGCTTCGTATGGATGAAAATCTATGAATCTACAAGTTCTCGGTTACTTGGTCGGATCGAAAACTTGTAGATTCATAGATTTTCATCCATACGAAGCTGTGTTGCTGACTGCTGGCATTTCCTGGAACTGGTTCTAGAAATTCTGTCTCGCGACCACACTACCAAATTTCTTAGTCAATCACCTAAAATAACGTTTTTTCTCGGCAAAGTAAATAATAAATAAATAAATAATAGATAAATTACTTGGTCGGATCAAATCTGAACTTACAGAATAGTTAGTGCTAGATGGGACAACAGTTTAGGTACCACTTAATGTGAGCATCAAATGTAAAGACGATATTGGTTTGCATATAAATAAGTAGTTAGGATTCCCCTTAAATCTTCAAAGCAACCCAAGTATTTTTCTATAAAAGGATTGTGAAGTGGAAGCTACGGGACGTCGGAAACTACCTACTGAGAATGCTGGCCTCTTACAGACGGTGAAAAACAAAGATTGACGGAACCTCATTTCCTTAAAACATATCACTTACGTTGGCAGGGACAATATTTCCGAGAGGCCTTGTCTGTGCACGAATACTGGACAAAGGTATCCGGACGGGCACTGGCAACTGTTGTTGACCTACATAGATAGAAGATCACAGCAAAAGATTTGTCTTGTGCAAGTTGAAGTTACATAACAATAAAACAGAAACATTGGAAAACAATGCGCAACTACATATTAAAATGCATAGATTAAACATCACAACATGTCTTGTACGCCCAACCTGCAGGCCGATCACCCATAACTTGAAGGCCGCGCTTGTTGATCTAGCGCATCATTTAAAGGAAGTTACTGAACCAAGTAATCTTAGTGAAGCCCGATAGATATTCAATAGCTTGTAGGTATTAGCATTAATCAGTCGTTTTGAGTTGTCTGGCTATTTGTGATCCCTGGGAATCGGGTGACTTTTTGATTCAGATTTGTTTAGTAAGGACAGAAGACCTATGGCCTACGTTATTCATTTTCTAGTATCATTCTGCGAGTGTCTAGTCTTCTTTTGAATGGGTCGACTGAAGGTGAGATACCACTACTTCGGTTAACAGGTTCCAAGAATTGGTGACTCGGTGTGAAAACATGCATGCCATATGTACTTTATTCGTTCTAGGTTTTTCTGCTCACCTGCTATGCCCTCTGAAGTGTCAAGATCTAGTGAGAATGAAAAAAAGAACATATCAGGTTCAAGATCATTTCTTGGTATCTTATAGAACAAAATCAGATCACCTCTCAATCTGCAGTTAAACAGAGTAAAGAGGTATAGCTTCTCAAACTGCACTTTGTATGGTAAACCACGATGTTCCGAAATTTCTCAGGTAGCTGCCTTTACTTGTTCCAGGATAATCAAGCCACCTTTTTTAACAGAAGCTTGCAGCCTGAAAGCGGTTCTCGGGCTTATTTCTCACCAAGGTTTTGTATACTGCAGTGGACGTAGTGTTATCTAACTTGGTGAATGTCAATCGTAAAGCCAATAGGGTTCCCAAAACCTCAGTTGCAATATCCCAGCAGTAGGCCCTTGCCTTAAGATCATTGCTCACTGTCACCCCTAGATCCTTGTAAGACCGAAGCACGGGTATAGGTACTTCGTCTATGCTGTACCTATTTATCTTTGTATCTCCAATGTGCATACAGACACAGTTTGCCACGTTGATAGGCATTAGCCACTTCTTAGTACAGTTAATTAACACAATTAAGTCTGCCTGAAATGCGCATGCATCTGCGCCTCCTGTTATTTCTCGTCAGATTTTTACATCAGCGTTTATTAACATTTTGGACTGCACTATACCAGGGAGATCATTGACACACAGTATAAAGGTAAAGGACCTAGGTCAGAATCTTGAGGTACACCGCCACCAAATGCCCTGGTATGGCCGAGAGTGGGATGGGTTCGCCCTCCCTCTCGAAATACTCTCACACGGCCACGCGTATACAGCATCTGCCTACGAAGTCCCACTCACTGCCTTCTCGTTGCGGGGGTGTTGTTTACAAAAATGAGAGGATGAAAAGCGAATGTCCGGCGCTATAACCGGATCCCAAATCAATGGTACACATGGGCTGGCTCCAGTATCCTGAAGGAACAAATGGCGTATGAACCAATCGTTGGTCACCGGCTTCCATGGGACTGCATCTCCTCACGACGCTCCACTTCCTTGTGAACTAGACCTTTAGGTCGAAGGCTCAGTGTGTGGCACCCTAAGAAAACCACCTGTTTCGGTTTGGGCACCCGGGCAGTACCTCAGCCCACATACTAAAACATGATGAACTATTTACTTATGGAAAATATTCTTCTCGCTCCGATTAACAATGAAATGACTCGCATTATTATTATTATTATTTGCTGCGTCATTTATTCACTCCCTTTTATCCCTACTCTGTCTATACTTGTTTTTCGACTTATACAGCAGCTCGCCTATGGTGGAAATTCGCCTCTGTCTAAATGTTCTTGAGTCATTGCCTGGTTGAAAATTGTATGTTACCACCGAATACGAGTACTGAAGCAGTTTTTCTGAAACCACGTGCACCATTCAAACTGGCTGCCTTCAACGTTCGCACACTTATGCAGATCGGACAACAGATAGGGCTGGCTATGTCTTTGGAAAGTCTTAATATTGACGTTTGTTGTCTATCCGAGACCTGTATTCAAGACTCTGGTGAAGTACTAAAAGTTCGCTCTCCATCTGTCGCCTCGAAAAGCTTGTTTTACGTGCATTTATCCGGGGACCCTGTGGCATTTTCGTCTGGTCTTGCTGGCGTTGGTGTCGCACTAAGCGCTAGAGCTGAGGCAGCACTAGTCGACTGGATCCCCATTAATAGTCGGTTATGTGCTGTTAGACTAGAAAGTACCATCAAAGTGAGAAGAAATCGGCGTGAGAAACGATGTCTTTTCGTCATCTCCGCCTATACCCCGACAGATTGCAGCCCGGATGCAATCAAGGATGAGTTCTACCACCAGTTAACTGTTCTTCTCCAGAAAGTGCGTTCGACAGATATTGTAGTACTAGCCAGAGACTTGAATGCTCAGGTCGGGCGTCTAGGCACAGAAGAGAGTCGTTTAGGTGGCCGATGGGGACTTGTTGGTCGCAGGACAGATAACGGGGAACGTCTACTGCAACTATGCACAGACCACAACCTGTTTCTGGCTAGCACTAACTTTCGGCACAGTCATCGCCGATGTGCCACCTGGCGTCTTCCTTCTGCATCTCAAGACTGGACTCAGATTGATCGCATCGCGATGAGCTACCGCTGGCGTGGTTGTGTACAAGACTGCCGCTCCTTTTGGAGTACCTATCTGGAATCTGATCATGCTCTGGTCTGCGCCAATCTTACCTTACTTTTCAGTGGCCAACAAATTCATCGTCACCAAAGGAATGATGTTAGCAAGCTGGCTGCAACTTCTGTTGCTAGTAAGTACCGAACCGAGCTAGCTTCTAGGCTAGCTACCATTCCACCGAAAAGTATAGATGAGCATCGGTTACAACTTCATGACGCCATCAAAATAGCGAGGTAAGCCGCTTGTGGCTTCGCGAAACGTCCTGTTTATAAGCACTGGGTTTCTTCAGGCTCCTTACAACTCATCGAAGCCCATCGGTCTACCACAAACGACGACTGTTACGTAATGAAATTGGGTAAATCTTGCGTAAGGACCGAGAAGCCTGGCGGTCAGAGCGTGCTAATGAGCTGGAAGCACCATCCGAGCCACTGGCAGCAAGAAGTCTGGTGTGAGCGAAACAATCTGCGAAGATGACGGGACGCCAATCACTAACATCCATCGACGCCTTGGACGATGGTCAGAATTCTTCGAAGGGCAGTTCAACTGGCCTGCTGCTCCGGCAACATCGGTCAGACTGTCCTGCTCTCCATGGCCGGTGACGACTGATCCACCAAATGAAGCGGAATCCGCAAGGAAGTCCAACTCTTGAAACGTTACAAATCACCAGGCCCAGATGACTTACCTCCGGCTCTTTTTAAAGATGGTGGTGACTTTCTGACTAAGGGACTGACGACGTTGTTTGCAAAGGTCTAGGAACTAGAGAGTGTACCAACGTCATGGAATGAGTCGATAGTTGTCCCTATCTTTAAGAAGGGTTCACGTCGTTCCTGTAACAACTGTCGGTGGATAAGTCTACTTCCGATTGCGTCCAAGCTATTGGCTTCCGTTATACTTCGTAGGTTGTTCAAAACCCGAGAAAGATTGACTCGCGAGGATCAGGCTGGCTTTCGTTCCGGTCGACAATGTATTGATCATATCTTCACCCTCCGCCAAATGTTAGAACACCGCCATACTTATCAAAGGCCAACAATCGTGGTGTTTCTTGATATCAGGGCTGCCTTCGATTCGTTGGACAGAACTGTTCTCTGGGATTGTCTATTGAAGAAGGGTGTGTCTGAGAAGTTTATTAACATCCTAAAAGCCCTATACACAAACACCTTAGGCAGAGTGAGGGCATACAACCACCTTTCTCCATTATTCCATTCGAGCAGTGGGGTTAGGCAGGGTTGTCCAATCTCACCATTCCTCTTCAACTTTGCCATTGATGACATTCTGGAAATAGCTCTGATGGATGTAAGTAGTGGCGGTGTGGATCTGTTGCCTGGAGAAAGACTTCTCGACCTTGAGTATGCGGATGATATTGTCTTACTGTGCGAGAATGCCCAAGCCATGCGATCCGCAGTTAATCAGTTGGCAATCAGTGTCCGTAGGTATGGTATGTGCTTCGCACCTTCGAAGTGCAAAGTACTTCTACAAGACTGGCAGGATTCTAATCCTGTACTCACTCTGGATGGTGAGCAGATAGAACTCGTCGAAAAGTTTGTGTATCTGGTTAGCTGCATAAGTGCTGGTGGTGGCGTGAGTGATGAGAACAATGCATGTATAGTGAGAGCCAGAGTGACTTATGCCAATCTGGGCCATCTTTGGCGCCTTCGTGATGTTGGTCTGGCTGTAAAAGGTCGGATCTACAACGCGTCGGTGAGAGCAGTTTTGCTCTATGCTTGTGAAACCTGGTCTCTCCGAGTTGAGGATGTTAGACGTCTCTCTGTGTTTGATCATCGTTGTCTCCGAAGGATTGCTGACATCCAGTGGCAACAGCATTTTAGTGATGAAGAGGTTCGCGTCGTGTGTTCTGGCACAGAGACGATAATGCAGTTGGTGTCACCATCTTGAAACACCGACTTCGGTGACTTGGACATGTTCTACGAATGTCATCCCAAAGAATTCCACGTCGTGCATTACTAGACGACGCTGGGACTGGTTAGAAAAAGCGAAGAGGTGGTTTGTGTATGACATTGTGTCGTGGTATGAAAGAAAGCTGCAAAGGGCTGGTTTGTGTTGGTCCTTCACGAATTCCTGGCTGGGGTCCGAGAGATGGTGTAACACAGTGGCTAGAGACGTTATCAGATATGGCTCAGAATAGAAGCCAGTGGCGATCCTGCTGTAACCTTCTTTTACTTTCCTCATAAAAAAGTGGTTGCCTCTTCCTTAACTGAAAAATTTCTTCTGATTGTACCCCATTATTGTTCTCTCTTTTTTTCTCCTTTCTCTTCAAATTATCATTGTTTTGTGTGGTGCATATATATTTGGTGCTCCCTTGTACCAATAAACAATGTTAACCCTCACGCAATAAACATGCCACATAGTCTAAAAACGAAACCTGTGCACAATCACTGAATTGCAAAATATAGTGATTTTAGAATTTATTTAGTTAAAAACTCACCACTAATGCTTGAATTAGCGTCGCTACTGAGCTATGAGTGCTAGCTGAGACATTTTTTGATAGTTCTAACAATTGGTTAAAAAATCCCACCAATTTAGTTGAGGAACCCGACTGAGATGTGACAACTCCTGATTATGAAAATAAATATCAGAAAATACCTCTTGAAAAAGTTTTTAAGCGGTTAAACAAACTGGTTAAGACATTGGAAAAAAGGATTTGGTCACTTACTTTGAAGCTTCCAAAGAAATCAACTTCGTAATAACTTGTCCCCAGAGGTCCAAATGTTCCACACGAGTCAGCTAGGTGGTATGACTGAAAGGGGTGAATTTTACGTCCTCATTTTGTTGCTCCAGGATTGACCTGCGTCAACACCTGAACTAAGAATAAGGAGTGAAGCAGTCTGACGCGTTGACAACTTCAGTTATCTTGAAAGTCTGATCAGCCCTGATGGGTTTGTGTCTGACGAAATCTCTGCACGGATTCAGAAAGCTTGTTTCGCTTTTACCAACTTAAGTCACTTATGACGAAAGCAAGATATCCGTCTATCCATAGAAGTACGAGTATACAGTTCAGCAAATAAAAAATAATAATAATAAATAATAATACTTCACTAAGTATTAATCTCCAGGTGGAGCACTTGGAATTTACCCTCGATTTCTGTCTACGACATACCAGGAATCGCTTGAACCAATTTAGGTGTAGTCCACCAATGTCCAGTGTAAGATCCATTTTGAATTATTTGTGTGTGAAAATCCCTCCATGTATACACTTGCAGTTTATTCTTATTGATACCTTTGGTTGTACATTTTTATTAGTCTTTTTCATTCCATTTGAGTTAATAGCATTTGTATTTTATTATAGTTTTTATTTTTCTTACGCCTTCACTAAGTTTCCGTTTCTTTCTGAACTGCATTTATGTTGTTTGACTTGATACCTATTCTTGGCGGCAGCTATATTGAGTTGTTCCTCCCTTTGATCGTGTTGCGTGCATTGACTGGAATTGTGCATTTTTGATTGTGAGTTGAAGCACTCTTCCAGAATTGAAAACACTTGGTGTTGTAAAGCAACCAAACATTATCTTTTGAACGAATCTGTGTGTGATCTATCCAGACAGGATAGAATAACATTTAATTGTTGCGATTGGTAATTTTCTAGCATCCTTTTTTAACTTTCTTATTTATTGTAATTTAGATTTGATTAATTGAACTACTGTTGGTTGGATAGCTGGGTGGTTATATTTGTTTAGGTAACGATGTACATTTAAATTTATGATGAATTATAGAACCGTCATTTCACCCGATTACTTTGTTTTGGTTTCAAACGGGCAAGGGCGCGTATCTAACCCACCAAGACAGCTATTCTTCAGTCCAAACCTTAGTTTGGATCTTACAGTTCTAAACAAATATCGATTGGTCGAAGTTGTTTGGCTATCGCTTCGCGGATTTTAATTGCTGTTTCTGAAAATATTTGGTCGTTTCTCTCGTGATGCCGAACACTCGTCAAAGAAAGTCAAGTTCAAAGCTCGGTGCTAATGGAGCTAAACTAAATGATGGATCCCCTCTTACAAAGCAAGTACCTTTTGATGTCCTTAAGTGTCATGGTTCAGACTCAAGTAGGGTTGATTATCATGATAGTGAGTCTAGTTGTGATTTAGTGGCAGATGACGTGGAAAATCCTAGTTCAGATGTAAAGCAAGCGAAGAGCGTCATGCCTGTGACACCTTACGTATGTTTAGAGTTACCAAAGGTTGAATTAAGTTATTTCGATGGACAGCCAAAAGAGTACTGGAAGTTTATAAGGCAGTTTGAAACCTACGTAGCGTCAAGAGTCATTGATGATAGCCAACGTTTGCTCTATTTGATACACTATTGTAAGGGTAAAGCAAAATCTGCTATCGAGGGTTGTGTCATGATGAAAGCATCTGTTGGTTATAAGCGGGCCAGAGAAATTCTAAAACGTTTGTTCGGACAGTCGCATGTAATCGCTCGAGAAACCTTAGAAGACTTATTCAATACAGTAAATGTTGATTGTAATGACGCAGAGCAGCTATCGAACCTGGCTATGAAAATGGAAAATTGTGCTATGATCTTGGAACAGATGAATTATACTGCTGATCTAAATTCTTTAGTTACTTTAGAGCGAATAGTCAGTCTTTTGCCTCACTCTATGCAAGTTCAGTGGGCGGACTTGGTAGATAAATTGACTGAAGACGATAGAGAACCAACGTTTGACGAGCTCACTGAGTTTATAGCATCTCGTGCGAGAGTAGCCAGTAGTAGATTTGGACGGTTGGCAAATCGTTCAAAAAGGGGACATAACGTAAAGACGAGTTGTCACTTACAATCGGGGCAGTGGAATGGTTCGACCACAAAAAGTAAATGTAGTATATGTTCCGATGACCACTCTGTTTATAAATGTCCACGATTTTTAGCGCTTACAGTTCAAGAACGATGGTCTCACGCAAAGAGCAAGGGTATCTGCTTTGTTTGTCTTAGGCAAGGACATAAAGCTAATGAATGTAAACTGACAGAGCGCTGTAACGTTGATAGGTGTGGGAAAAAACACCATTCTCTGCTGCATTGTGATTCAACAACCGACGGCGCAAGTGCTAAACCTGGTACTCAGAATTATTGCGGATATACTAAATCACTAAATAGTCAAGTGTGTTTAGGAATGATTCCTGTGCGGTTGAGGTCCGAAAATGCCGAAATTGTGGGTTATGCTCTGTTGGATAACGGTTCTGATGTAACGTTGATTAAATCAAACTGTTTGAGGTCTCTCGGGCTGAAGGAAGACCAAGCGTCAGTGGTAGTTGAGACTGTGGGTGGTAATAGAACAACAAAGGTCACGAATACGCCTTTTGAAGTATATTCTTTAGATCGATCTGAACATATTACGATTGAAGGAGCTCTGATTGTGGCAAGTATACCAGGGCATAAACCAACGAAGTCGGCAATGAACAATCTAGTTAGGTGGCCGCATTTAAGTGATGTACCAATAAATAATCTGGACTATGGAGAAGTTCTACTGTTAATTGGTTGCGACGTGCCGGAAGCACATTGGGTGTTAGACCAGCGGTTGGGCGAAAGGAAAAAGCCGTACGCTGTGAAAACGTTGCTAGGGTGGACTGTCTTTGGACCTGCATCATACCCGGAATTTAGGAAAAGAGTTGTTAATCTTACTAGTAAAGTACAGACATTGGAAAACCAAATACGTAAGCTTTGTGATGTGGAATTTGCAGATGTCTATTCAGGTGATAAATCAGTATCGGTAGAAGACAAGGCGGCCATAGAGATTGTGGAAAGAAGCACGCGCTTCGACAATGGGCATTTTGTAGTTCCTATACCATGGAAAAAGAATCCAAACATGAAAGTGGGGAATTATGAAGTAGCAAACAGTAGATTACAGAGTTTGAAGCGAAGATTGTTGAGGGATGACAGTCTGCACATCAAGTATACGAAAAGTATTGAAAGTAATTTTGTTAAGGGCTATGCGGAGAAGGTCCCTGAAATACACTTGCAGCCTAATTACCACCCCCGATGGTATTTGCCTCATCATGCCGTGTTAAATCCGAAAAAGCCAGAAAAACTTAGAATGGTCCTCGATTGTGCCGCCAAGTTTTCAGGCGTTTCCCTAAATGATATGATTTATCAAGGACCCGACACCACCGCTGAGCTAGTGTGTATATTATTGAGTTTTCGCAAGGAGGCAGTTACAATCTCTGCAGATGTTGAGGAAATGTTCATGCAGGTGAAGGTCCCTGAGTCTGATCGAGGAGCTTTAAGATTTCTGTGGTGGCAGGAGGGAGACATGTCGAGGGAGCCATCTGAATTTCAAATGACCTCTCATCCATTTGGTGCCACGTCATCTTCGATTTGTGCGAACTTTGCCATGATTAAGACAGCTCAAACATTCTCTGATAGTTATGATCGGTATGTCGTAGATGCTGTCAAGAACAATTTCTATGTTGATTGCTTGATATCATTTTCTACTTGCGATCAGGCGAAGGAGTTTGTTAAGCAGATAACTGAATTATTACGTAAAGGAGGTTTTAAATTAAAGAAATGGGTCACCAACTCGGAAGAAGTGTATGGAGAATTATTTAGTGAATTTAAAACCACAGTAAAGTAGTTAGTCATAATGATCTGAAAGAATTGTCACCTATAATACTGGACGGGTTAATCTGTGTTGGAGGTCGCTTAAGCTACTCAGATTTCTCCGATGCTTTTAAACATCCAATAATTTTACCCAGTCGACACTTGGTGACGGAAATGATAATTAGACATTATCATAAAGAACAAGGGTACACAGGAACGTCTCAAGTACTGGCCACAATTCGAAAAAGCTATTGGATAGTAAAAGGAACTAGCATAGTTAGAAGAGTGATAGGAAAGTGTATGACATGCCGACGGTTTACGATGAATTTAGGACAACAATTGAGGGCACCGCTTCTAGTTTGCAGAGTGCAACAAGGCTGGTATAGTTTCTCAAATGTAGGGGTAGACTACTTCGGACCTTTCTTAGTCAAAAGAGGAAGGTCATTAGAAAAAAGATATGGATGTGTATTTACTTGTTTGCAAACCAAAGCAGTACATATTGAAGTGACGTATAGTTTGAATACTGATTCCTTTATAATGGCCTTATTACGTTTTATTGGAAGAAGAGGGAAACCTGCAGAAATTTACAGTGACAATGGGTCAAATTTCGTGGGTGCAGTCACTGAACTAAGGAAATTTGTGAAACAGTTTAATCAGCAGAAGATAAGTAACGAGCTGTCAGCGAGGCAGATTCAATGGCATTTTAACCCGCCCTCATCCAGCCACAGGGGTGGAGTATGGGAAAGGATGATTAGGTCTATACGCCGACTGTTATTGTTGATCACCAGAGAACAGACTTTAACTGATGAGGCTTTAGGCACTTATTTGGTCGAAGTAGAAAGAATACTGAACGATCGACCCTTAACTCCAGTTATCCAAGATGCTAACGATAAGCTAGCCTTATCGCCAAACACTTTGCTGTTATTGAGAGAATGTGACGGAATAGTAGATGAAGGTAGCGTTCGAGACAAATATGACAAACGTTCGAAACAGGTCAATTATCTAGCTAATGTGTTTTGGAAAAGGTGGTTAAGAGAGTATTTACCGTCCTTACAAAAACGTCAAAAATGGTTTACTGAACATCACAATTTTCAAAAGGGAGATGTAGTAATCGTGACCTCGGATATTTCGACCCGTGGAAATTGGCCCTTGGGAGTAGTTGAAGGTTGTGAAATAGATAACGACGAAAAGGTTAGGACGGTTACTGTTCGTACGAATAATGGATTAGTTAGAAGAGATATACGTAAGGTATGTCTTCTTGAAGGTTCGAATTAGTTCTTTGCTATTATCAAGGTAGGTAGGTCGAGTAGGCGTACTGTTGTAAGTCCTGCTCGTTCCTGTGTAGTAGAATATGTTGTGGTATGAACCATGACCATAGGCATCAAGGTGGCTTGTGTTGTATGGAGGAATTTTGTGGGCCGGTGTAAGATCCATTTTGAATTATTTGTGTGTGAAAATCCCTCCATGTATACACTTGCAGTTTATTCTTATTGATACCTTTGGTTGTACATTTTTATTAGTCTTTTTCATTCCATTTGAGTTAATAGCATTTGTATTTTATTATAGTTTTTATTTTTCTTACGCCTTCACTAAGTTTCCGTTTTTTTTCTGAACTGCATTTATGTTGTTTGACTTGATACCTATTCTTGGCGGCAGCTATATTGGGTTGTTCCTCCCTTTGATTGTGTTGCGTGCATTGACTGGAATTGTGCATTTTTGATTGTGAGTTGAAGCACTCTTCCAGAATTGAAAACACTTGGTGTTGTAAAGCAACCAAACATTATCTTTTGAACGAATCTGTGTGTGATCTATCCAGACAGGATAGAATAACATTTAATTGTTGCGATTGGTAATTTTCTAGCATCCTTTTTTAACTTTCTTATTTATTGTAATTTAGATTTGATTAATTGAACTACTGTTGGTTGGATAGCTGGGTGGTTATATTTGTTTAGGTAACGATGTACATTTAAATTTATGATGAATTATAGAACCGTCATTTCACCCGATTACTTTGTTTTGGTTTCAAACGGGCAAGGGCGCGTATCTAACCCACCAAGACAGCTATTCTTCAGTCCAAACCTTAGTTTGGATCTTACATCCAGCATATCCAATTTATTTTCAGGCGGCTGTGGTGTTTGTATGACCTAGTGATTCCTTCAAAATCAATGTTTATGGTATGTAGCAATCAGTTTTCTATTCACCGTCTGTACGTTGAAAACAGGTTTGCGCAGACGGTCCTTAAATCTGGGAAGAGAACGCTAACTATTGAGCCAGTGCCGGTGAGATAACAAACGTTTGTCATCAGATTAGGCAGCTATTTTCGTTGATTGCAGTTGTCGTTAACAGGTGTCAATGAGAAGTTTTACAGAAGGGTTTTCCATTTCAGACTATTTGAAAATTATGAAGCCACAGGGTTCCATACAATTTCTTGAAGACTTACTGTATTTATTGTAGTACCATCAATCAGAATCATTTGTCCTCGTGGTCTAAAAACAGAACTACATCGTGGTGGGCTTCTTCAACGAGTATGAGAGCTTCTACGATTAGGATGAATACTAAGATAACGTATCAGAGTATGATGGAGACCTGTGACGTTATTTTGTGTTGTTTGAGGTCTTTTCTTGACAGAATAAACCTTGGTGTTGGAGGTTATTGTGATCCTTAGAATCTAGTCGACAGTTGGAGCTAGTTCATATACGGCGTTATTTTGGAATGAGACAAGGACTGTCCGAGTCTTTTGGGAAAGCTTAGATAAGAGCTGTTCAAGCAGGCTCTTGTCATAGATCCGTTGAACAATTAAAGTAACCTACTTTATTTTGTCGTGTAATGAAAGGTTACCTCATCTCTACTTTAGGTACCTTGAATAACAAGTTAAGTGACGACATACATCATCTTTCTGCTTCACAGAGAATCGATCCTCTGTGTAAACATATCGATAGGGGCCAGAAACACTGATCGCATAAACTTATGTTGGAGTTCCGCTTTTGCCAACTCACTGTCAACTAACGGAAGGCTCTATGCAAATACGTGGTGCAAGCTTCATACATGAACGCTTTTGAGGACACTTCATAGCCTCTGTATAGGTCAAAAACGCGGTACCTTCATCTCTAACAGCTGATGTTGAGGATCGCGCTTTTCAAACGGGAAGTTTAGTTCTAACGTGGTTTGCACTTCTCGAACATTTTCTGTGATCTTACGCAACAAAAGTACCACTTCTGATCTAAAGAATCTATTCTAAGATATACGTTCGGCAGATTACTTTTTTTCCGGGTTTTGCCCAGTTTAATAGTTAACTGTGTTTTTGCCTCAGCTTACTGTTCGGTTTTTTCAGTTTTTCACGTAAAGGCTAGTTCAGTTTATCTCATCCTCTTTTATCAATTTTTCACGTTTTAGTGTGCTTTTTAGTGTATTTTTAACGACCTTAAGCTCTTGCTAGCATCTATAATACGCTTTACGTCAACACGTCATGAAAAATTCATGCAAACGATCTGGATGCCGTTTCACTGTAACATCTGTCATGCAGTGCCACAACTTCAAAGGTTGGTTCCGTGAATCGAGCACAGATATCACAGCAACTGCTTACAACAGACTCAGCAAGTCGGATCATAAGTGGGCATGTGTTACGTGCTGCACCGATGCTGTAGTTTTGCTGAGTAACATCATCGTCCTATTGACAGGTCTGCGGAATAAGTTGTCGGCTAACTTGGAAAAAGACGGTCATAATACAAGTAGGCGAACAAGAACGCGCAACGAAAATAAGAATAAGGATGCCGAAAGGTCTGTAGTGGCATTGAGCCGTAACACGAGACAAACTGGAAAATGGACATTCAACATTAAACGCTGGGAAATACCGAACAATGAAGAAAGGCGGGAACAGTGAATTGAATTAATACGAGTTAATCTTATGGTATGGCTCGACCATGCAGGCGTTGTCCCTCCTGCTAAATGTTACGTTATGTCTTTTATTCATATTAAATATATTGTTCCATCTCTAGCCTAAGCTTGTTCTCTATCACGTATTGGTAATTGTTACAATGCAATGAATTGGTGTAGACGATGATGTAACTTATAGGCAGTTACATCATAATAAATCTACAATTTTAGGATTAGGTCTATTATTAGAGCAGTGCTAATATCGTAGTAGACCATAATTCTACAGGTCTACCATAGATGGAATACGCATTAGCACTAATGATGACATGTTGAAACTCAGCACCATCATTAAGTCGACGGTAATTGACTCCCTCACTAAACTTGGATCTCGCAGTACAGGGTCTTTAAACGCAACAGTGGTTCCCAAAAACTCTGTGGGTGATTGGGCCCACGTTAACAGTACTAAAAACGACCAGGCATCACCGTCTAAGCTGAACATTCCAAGTGTTGTACGGAAATCAACTTGTGATTTGATCGCACAGTCTACCTCCAAGAATGTCTGCATGGTCACCAAAAAGCCTAGGATTCAGAAACGTGCTTCGACCTCCAAAGAACAAGGTGTTGAACCTGAACGCACCGGAAAACCTGGAGAACAATTATGGTTCGCTATGACTCTCACATAATCACGAACCTCAAAGACAACCCTGACATTCCTCTCAGTTGGCAGGACAAAAATGATAGGATGCTCTGGAGTGAATCGAACAAAAAGCTTGGACTTCCTACAATAGAGCCTTTGACGGTCACTCGGGGAAAGGAATCTAAGCATCAAAGTCACCCGAGGCTACTTCGTGTAACACTTATGAATGCTACTGACGTAGGGGATGCCCTGCTAGCTAGTCGTTTACTGAAATCCGATGGGTACGTAAGAATACTGCCCGACATACTGTATTGTGAGCTCAATCTCGTGAACTCCGCGAGTCTACCAAACAAAATGGATGAGTTACGTGAACTCAGCAACGCTAATAAGGTTTATCTGATAAGAATATCTGAAACTTGGACATCTCAGTTTTCGAACCAGAAGCTAGCAATACCTGGGATGTGTTTGTTTCATAACGACAGAAAAACAGGAATTGAGGGTGGAGTAGCCGTATACACACGATCTGGCTTGGAGTTACACCGAGTTCACAGTCATGAGGAATCTATATGGTGCTCTGTAAGATTGTCTACTACTTCGAGGCGCCTAGTCGGAGTCATATATAGGAAGCCCACTACAGACATCGAGTATGACAGTCGTATGCTGGAAGGACTATCATGCTCCACGCGTCTCGATTTCACTCAAAACCTGATTCTAGGGGACTTTGATCTTCCTAGAGTCAATTCTCGGCACATACGTATATTGGGGGTGAAAACTCAACTGAAACTCGGTTCTTCAACTTCATTGAGGATTAGGGATTATACGAAGATGTGAAGTCGGCAACTCGTTGTAAAAACAGTCAGACACCGTCGCGCCTAGATTTTGTATTTACAAACGAAGAATTTCTAGTTGACAACAACAACACGCGCTGGAATTTCAAACGGTTGAATACGTCAGCTCTACAGGACTATCTACAACAGGTGGATTGGGATGTTCACCCTCAACTTGATGTGGATGCCCATCGGGACTTCTTACTGCACACGCTCTTATGTGCTACAAAACAGTCAGTTCCTCAAACGGTCCCCAAAAGCTACAAGCAACCTACAATCATCAAGAACCACACTCTTCGTTTGTTAAGACGCAAAAAGAACTGTCGGGCAGAAAAAAATGAGCCAACAACAACGGCGAGTACAGGCAGTACAAACATACAGGGAACATATGCACGATGGCTATAAGAGAAGACAGGTTTCAGTACCGGATAATGCTTGTGGGTAAATTTGTCTCCAATACGAAAAGCTTATTCCGTCACGCAGCGTCTCTTTGTCGAGCCAAAACTGGAGTTTCCCAACTGCTAGGTCCTAACGGCCCGACCGACAGCGACGGCGACACAGCTAACCTTCTGGCTGAGCAATACTTCCGGACATTTCAACCGTCCCACATCAACTATACTGATGACGGCTCTATCTGCAACTGCACAGGACTTTCCGTAGTGAAACTGAGCGCTGACTTGGTGTTCCGTAAACTACAACACCTAGGAACAGACACTTCTCCTGGTCCACATATGGTCCACTCTGCTATACTGAGGGAAGCAGCTTCAATCCTGGCAACACCGCTTAGCGTGATGTTCTCACACTCGCTAAGTCGAGGCAAACTACCGGATATTTGGAAGCTGGCTCATATCACACCAATCTTCAAGGGAGGTAGACGCAGCGAACCTTCAAGTTACCGACCGGTGGCTCTTCTCTCTATACCTTCAAAGATCATGCAGTCCCTGGTATATGGTGGTATACAAGACTATCTGCTGTCCTTAAATTTCTTCTCACCCCAACAGCATGGTTTCAGGAAGGATTACTCCTCTACGACCAACCTGCTGACCGCGGTGGACATATGGACAAGCATCGTTGATCGCAAGGGGAAGGTGGACATCATTTACCTTGATTTCTCAAAAGCTTTTAATAGGGTTAACCATATATGTCTTATCAATAAGTTCAGACGATTGCGCATCAGACCGCCTCTACTTGATTGGCTCATTTCATATCTGAAAAATCGACATTTTAAGGTCAGGGTCAACTTCAATCTATCACAGGCTATGGAATGTCCTAGTGGGGTCCCCCAGAGCTCAGTACTAGTGTGGTGTGTGCTGCTTATGTAGACATAAGTAGTATATGACGTGAGTCGTGAACAGAATGTCTGGCAGCAGAGAGACAAGAAGATCGGATAGTAAACAATGAAAACAGAATGCAATTTGTGTGAAAATGCAAGAACAAAAAAATTCTGAGTCATTTGAGACAATTGATGGGCATTTTGCAAATTCAGCACTTAATATATGGTTGTTAGATTTTACTAACTAGTTCTGTAATTTGTTGTCAAGCACATTCGATTGTCCCCACTCATGTTTGTTCACTACAATAGGATATCCTCTCTTGTTCATTTATATATATGATCTTCCTCAACAGGTAACGTCAGATATATTGTTCTTTGCCGATGACGTGAAACTTTGGAGAGAGATACGCAACCAAGATTATATACAGGCACTTCAGGAGGACCGGACTCGACTTCAAAGTTGGGCAGACGACAACGGACTTACCTTAACCACTTCAAAGTGTAAGGTAGTCCATCTGCGACACGACGCAGATTACGGTTACAACTTAGGAAACTCCTCTATAGTAGTATCCCGAGTCGAAAAAGATTTAGGATTTCTGGTGCCCCACTACTTAAAGTCTTACGCCAACTGTGACAGAAATGCCTTTCAAACGAACCTTGAACTAGTGACATTGAAGTGCATTTTTGGTCAGTTTGGTGGAGGAACCTTCCACATAATCTTCAACAGTTTTATTCGTCCTCATTTAAAGTACGGGAACATAGTATTTTCTCCTACACTCCAAAAGGATAAGGACACTCTGGAGCGTATTCAACGGCGAGCCACGAAATCAGTTCGGGGACTCAAGTTTAAACCTGACGAAGAGCGCCTCCAATCACTCGACCTTTACCCATTAGAGTATAGGCGTCTTAGAGGTGACCTTCTAATGGCTTACAGTATTCTTAACACTCCTGGACACCCTCTTAAACGCCTACTTAAGCTTAGTTTCATTACTAACCTAAAGGGTAACACCCAGAAATCGGAGATACAACATAGCAGAACGGACTGTTGGCACAACTTCTACTCCTTAAGAGTTGTCAAAAGCTGGGATTCGCTGCCGGCTGAGTTAGTCCAGGCGACTTCCCAGTAGTCCTTTATGAGGCGACTTGATCTATTCTTAAGGGCTGAGGACAGTATCTTACTATGATTTACCAATTTCTTTTTTTCTCTTTTATTGTTAGTATACCTAGGTTCTTGCCTGGAGGTATTGGTGATCCCCTGCTACTAGACACGGAAGCCTGTTAAGCTAAAGCTTCTTCTATTCCATCCACAACGATTTGATCCATTTGAATCGAATTTCAGCGGCATTTCAAATGTGTACGTGTCGAATGTATATTCTACGATGTGGCGTTACGTCGCGTTGTTTTCAGAAGCCAGGAAGTATTGTAGCACACAATCGAACTATATGCTTAATGATTTGTGCATAGTCGTTGATAAATGTGATCATGTTCTTGGGTTTGCTAACAAGAAGGTAAGCAATACACACTTCATAAGGCACTATACTGTCTAGACATGTCATGAAGTTTTGTTCGGAAAATCATTACTACATCGGGCCTTCAGCTTGTTTCTTTTTCAGGAGGATACTAGTAGTGAAACAAATCAGACGAGCCTTAAGCTACTAGTCCAAAAACGTTCAGCTAATAAACTTACGTTCCCATCTCTGTGGTCAAATACTTGTTGCAGTCATCCTATCATGAATTTTCCTGATGAACTTGTCGAATCGAATGCGATCGGGGTGAAGAAAGCAGCACAACGAAAGGTAGGGAGATTATCTTGAATTTTTAAATGAATAGCTGTTCCATGAACTCGGCATCAAAAATACTTTTGTCCCATTGAATCGAATACACTTCTTAGGTCGAGTGCTATATACTGCTCCAAATGAACCGTATATGCAAACTGCATTCGCAGAACATGAAGTTGACTACATTCTTGTTAGCGTGCTAGATCCAGTTGCTAGTAAGTTATTTTTTGCTCATGTTCTCCATTTGTATCATTTTGATGCTATGACGTGTACAAAGTTGTTACATATGGACAAAGTTCTTGTCTCCATACTTTGCCTGCTTTTTTTGGATGATGTGAATATTATCTGCTGTGCAATTGAATCTCGTTCCCGGTGAAAACCTCATTAATCGTACAAGAACTGCAAGCAACTTGTTTTTTAGGAGCTTATAAAGTAGATCATAAATTCCCTTACACTTGTAGTTTGTATGTTTCTGTTGACTGGTATTAATTTGCTAAGGCTTTTCAATCGTGACACTCATTTAAAACCTATCACTTCAAATTCAAACTTCGAGCTAAAATTCTTTTGACATAAAAACACAACTATGAGATCTTATTAAAAGTTGG